AGGAGGAGGGGGAGGGCCCTGGGACACGCAAATGAATAGACACAAATAGCAGGCTTCCCCTACATTTTCTCAATTATTTCGTGGGCATTCGTCTTCCCCCACTTCCCATAGTTTCCTACATCTTCCTGGGGGTCGACGATCGATTGTGTCTGTGTGAAGATTCCCCTCCTGAGTGTTCCTGGGAGACGGGCGATCTTTCATTCGACTGGCTCTTCCGTTCCCAGAGACTATCCCGAGACCCTCTTTTTAGAGACCTGGAGATGAACACCAACATCAACACAGGGGCCTGCCCCCACAAGGGAAGATGATCCTGGACTTCGGGGCTGGTGGTAATATCTCGGCCACCTTGGAAGCCAGAATATGACCACCCCCGCGGAGATCGGGATCCTCTCCCCTCGGTGGAGGCACGCCGCCGAGACAGGTGCTGGCGTCAACCTCTAGGCCTGCGATCTCTGGCGCGCCAGGCTCGTCAACGCGAGGAGGGGGCGCCTCAGCCTGCCGAACGGAGGAGGAGGAGGAGGAGGAGGAGGAGGAGGAGGAGGAGAGGAAGAGGAGGAGAGGATGGAGGCGGAAGGAGGATGAGGAGTTAGGAAGAGGAAGAGGATGAGGATGATTATGAGTATTAGGATGAGGAGGAGAGGTAGGAGAGTATGCCAGTGCCTATCATAAGTCGGAGTAGGATGTGGTGCTAATGAGAAGAAATAAGGCATGGAGAGGGAGGCTGCAGTATTGGAGTATCTATCATGCCATCACCGAAATATAGTATGATTAATATTAGTGCTGTTCCTCTTTCTTACTATTAGTTCTTGTGTTCTTCTACTTTTTATTATTACTATTAATAGCTGTGTTTTTATTAATTTCTTCTTATTATTAGTTATTCTTATACATGATTATTATTTATTATTTTATTATATATTATTATGTATTATTATGATTATTATTGTGATGATGAGGGGGCGCCTCGTCCTGCCGAGACACCTCTCCCCCAAACGCCCAAACCCCCGTGCTCAGCCCATGATCCGTCCCCCTCGTGGGCCCTCCTGCGGGCCGCGTGGGATCCCCCTCCCTTCCCTCCCCCTCCCTCCTCCTCCCTCATACCTCCTAAACTCCTCCTCCTCCTCCTCTCTCCTCACTCCTCCTCCTCCCTCCCTCCCTCCCTCCCTCCCCTCCCCTCCCTCCCTCCCTCCTCCTCCTCCTCCTCCTCCTCACATTCCTCCTCCTCTCCTCCTCCTCACATTCCTCCTCCTCCTCCTCCTCCTCTCCTCCTCCTCCTCCTCCTCCCTATCCTCCTCCTCCTCCCCCATCCTCCTCCTCATCCTCCTCCTCCTCCCTCCTCCTCTCCTCCTCCTGCCTCTCCGTCCCTCCTCCTCCTCCTCCTCCTCCTCCTCCTCCTCCTCCGTTTTGAGCCGTCTGGGAGCCTTCGTGGAGCGCCTCGGGAGAGTGGAGGGCCGTCTCCGTCCCTCCTCCTCCTCCTCCTCCTCCTCCTCCTCCTCCTCCGTTTTGAGCCGTCTGGGAGCCTTCGTGGAGCGCCTCGGGAGAGTGGAGGGCCGTCTGGAAACAACCGCGGGCGTCTGGGGCTGACTCTCGGGCTGCTCGAGCGCGACTCGGTGCCCTGTCGGGCTGTCCTGGAAGTGTCTTGGAGCGGCTTTGGGGCCTCTTGGATGCTCTGGGCGCCCCTGTGGGTTGCCCCTGAAACCATCTTGAAGCAGGTGGTGGAGCTCGCGGGGCTGGTTTGGAGCATCGGCAAGCCGAAAAGGCGCGTGCAGCGCATTGGCAAGTGTGGTGAGCCATCTGGAGACAACCACGACCGTGTGGGAGTGATTTTCCGGCGACTCGGAAGCGACTCGGGGCTCTCGGAACGCCTCTGGAGCACCTCTGGGTCTTCTTGGTCTGCCATGCACGGTGGAGCCCCCCAGCCTGCCCCCCCCCCTGTCCTCGTAGGCGGGAAATATACATACACATATATGCATACATACACATACCTACATACATACATACATACATACATACATACATACATACATACATACATACATACATACATACATACATACATACATACATACATACATACATACATACATACATACATACATACATACATACATACATACACACATACACACATACATACATACATGCATACACACATACATACATGCATGCATACATACATACATACATACACACACATACACACATACATACATACATACATACATACATACATACATACATACATACATACGTACATACACACATACATACATACATACATACATACATACATACATACATACATACAAACATACAAACATACATACATACGTACGTACGTACGTACATACATACATACGTACACACATACGCACATACATACATACATACATACATACATACATTCATACATACATGCATGCATGCATGCATGCATGCATACATACATACATACATACATACACACAGACATACATACATACAGACATACATGCATGCATACATGCATGCATGCATGCATGCATGCATACATACATACACCTACATGTACACACATATTTACACGTTTATATGTATGTGCACACATACATGAATAACTACACATGTAAATATATGGTCGCCCCCCTGCGATCATACCTCTCTCTGCTTCTCTGTTTCTTCCTCGTTTTCCTCTTTCTTCTTTCTCTTCACCCTCTCCTCCTTCTCCTCCTCCTCATCCTCCTCCTCCTGATCCTCCTCCTCCTCCTGCTGCTGCTGCTGCTCCTCCTCCTCCTCCTCCTCCTCCTCCTCCTCCTGTGTAACAATACAAAGCCCATACCAAACAGCGCTTGACGCCCTTGGTGCAAGGAAGCGTGCGTATTCGTTGCTATGTTTTTCTTCGTGAAGCCACGAAGCACGGTATTTGGTTTGCTGTTTTGGTTTGTGAAACCACGAAACACCGTATATGCTTGGCTTGTTGGCTTGTTTGGTTTAGCAGGCCCCGGTGCTCGCCGCGGCCTCCCTCGCAGCACTTCTCTCCCTGCGCCAGCAAAGCCCCAAGCAAACATACGCAGTAGTTGGCGCCCTTGGTGCAAGGAAACGCCGTACTTTTGGCTATGCTGTTTTTTTTTTGTGCGAAGCCACGAAACACTGTTTTCTACGTTTTGTGGCTGTTTTTCCCAACCATCCTGTGTTGTTGGGTCCTCGTTCTTCAAAGACAGCACCCCGCGTCTCGTTCACCCTCCCGCTGCCCGCACCCCCCTCCATTTCGGTACACCCCTCACACGTTTCGTGGCCCCACAGGGAGCTCAACCGAAGGCCCCAGCGGCTGCGTTCGCATGGGTTCCGTCCCCCATTTTGGCACACCCCTCATACGGTTTGTGGCCCCATAGGGAGCTCCACCGAAGGCCCCAATGGCTGCATTCGCATGCGGCTCCATCCCCCCA